TCGAGAGTTGCCTGGCGAAGAGCCGTAGCCTTCTCGGTCATTGTCTAGTAGATGGTGCCGTTTACTTGTAGTGGGGGCGGCTGGAAAGGGCTTTGATGTAGTGGAGGCGGCTGGAAAGGGCTTCGGGCCTTAGTCCATCGTGTGATCTTGAACATGTCTTCATTGCTTGACACGTTGTCAACCAGTGCTTGCCAGAACGAGCGTTTGGCATTGCGGACTACCCGTTGGAGCCGCTTCCTAGCGAGCTGCGCTTCTTTGCCATACCCCAGAGGGTAGATGCGTCTCATAGATCTATACTCGGCAGCAGCCAGTGCACACTTGTCATTCCACCATGGCGCGGCCCGTGCCCTTTTCCTGGTGAGGTGCCCGGCCCTGCTGGCCGCTGATTGCAGCATGGATGTGAGCGATGCTGCCAAGGCATCGAGTCCTTCTGTGGAGGATGTTTGCATAGGAAGAGCGGAGGCCTCCATCTCCACGATCTCAGCGAAGCGCTTGAGTTCGTCGTCCGACGTGACCCGGATCTTGCCGAGCAGACGAGGGGGTTGATGCATGGATGGGATGGTCAAGCTCAGCGTGAAATGATCCGAGCTTGTGGCCAGGTGGTCCTCCACCGTGGCCTCCGCACGAGGAATGTTTGAGAAGGCGAGATCGATGGTGTTGCCGTGCAGGTTGGTCGGCTTGTTGGGTGGATTGAGGAGGGACAAGTCGTTCTGTGATGCCCAGTTCGCGATGTCGTTGCCGCGACCGGTCGTATCTCCCGCTTGCCAGGAGTAGTGTCTGGCGTTGAAGTCTCCGACAACTACACATCGACCGGGAATTCCCCAACAACCACACATCGACCGGGAATTGGCCACTGTACGAGAAGGTCGAGAGTCTCGTGGACGCCAGGTTGTCGATAGACATTCACAAAGGTAGTATCATCAACGTGTAGCCACAACATGTCCCTTGACGGTGAGGGCCGGAGTTGGTCAGCCAACAACGTAGGGCTGCGTCGAAGGTATGTTATAACCCGGGGCCGGGTGCTGGGGCCCTCCCAGTAGTCCACCGAGGAGAATGCGTCATAGGCGGGAT